CTAACGCAGTGCAATTGAGTTCAGTGAATTAAGTGAACCAATAATTAAATTTACTTTGTAATTTAAAGTGAGACTTCGACACACAAGAACTAGAATTACAGTTCCTGATAAAAACAAGCGAAAAGTATTTATATTCGCCGTGTTATATGCCGATATTATATATTCGCCGTGTTATATTTCGATATTTAAGTCGAGCTTTCAAACTAATTATTAAACTTTGGTAAAGCGAACGAATTTTTTTGTTTTTAAGAACGGAGGTTGTTGTCATCACTATACGTGCTTGGGTGTGGAATGCCTGCAACTGGACCGTAATTAAACTGAAACAATAACTTTGAATTGTTTTGAAATCAAAGCTATTAATCTTCGACAAAATATAACAAGGGCGCCACCTATAACTGTCATTTGCATAAGAGATCAGTAGCGTCAAGAAGTCTATTTCGCTTCATGGAAAATACAAATACAACCAAGGCACAAATAACAGAGGAGAGTCATCAGCTCAGACAAACACCTACAAAAGTTACAGCAAAGCGTATGCGAAGCAGCCCTGGTGAACAACAAACTATCAACACAATGAATATACAAGATATGAAGGCGATGTTTGCTGAACTTTTAGATGACAAAATGAAAAATTTGGCAACGAAAACGGATATAGAAGATATAAAAGATAAGCTAGTAGAAAATGCGAATCAAATTCAAAGTCTGAAGGAAGAAAATGCTAAGCTTAGAGAAGAAATGCAACAAATTAAAGAATCGAAAGAAGTTGATAGCAGGCGAATATCACATTTGGAGAACCAAAGCAAGAGGAAAAATATTGTAATCCGCGGCCTAGCTTGTGATGCCAACCAACGGACATTCGATCGTGTAACTCAACTATGCAACGAAGTTCTAAATATTCCAAGCCCACTGCCGATAGCTTCGGTAAGAAAGTTAAGCGAGTACAACGGAAAGGTGAATGTCGTTGTAGAGTTGGACACAGCAAACTCTGTAGAATAGCTGCTTAGTAAAAGTAAAAATCTAAAAGGGTCACAAAACACTTTAGAACGGGATCTTGATGCTGGTAAACTACTACATAAAAAACTTATGTTGATTTTAAAACAGAAAATTCTCACAGTAAGTAAAGTACACAGGGTCAGCGTTAGAAATGAAAAATTAAGAATTGGAGACTACTGGCTAGGGTGGAACAATAAAAATGAACTTGTTTGTAATGATCAAAAAGGCGAAATGGTTTTAAAAATATTGTATAAAGAATTAGCTACAAAAATAGATATTAATTATGTAAATCTTTTAAAAATATTAGAAAAGAAATAGGGACGCGCTGTCTGCGGAGGAAATGAAAATAGTAGTACTAGTAATATAGTTAATAATTTTAGAAACTTTCGTATTTTGTCATACAATATAAACGGTTTAAAAAATAAAATGATCTTTCCAGATTTTTTCGAATTCGTCAAAGGCCATGATATATTTTGTTTTCTAGAAACACATATAGAGGAGAAAGACTTGGAAAACTATAAAAAATTTTTCTCGGGTTTCGAATTACATTTCAAAAAAGCTACTAGAACAAGTCAATTCGGCCGTGCTAGTGGTGGAGAAATGTATGGAATTAAAAAAGAACTAAGGAATGCTGGCTTTATGTATTGCTTTGAAAATATAAATAATATTAACATTATCAACATAAAAACACAATATATAAATTTCAAAATAGTCCCGTTATATCTAAACTGTAACGATTGGGAAAATAATTTCCAACAACTGGCAAATCATCTGGTGGAGGAAAACGTTGAAAATACAATTTTAATTGGCGATTTAAATGTCAGAATAGGAAATATACAGCAAAACATTGAAGAAATATTTTTAAATGAATTTAAATCAGGCGTTGAGTGTAGACAATCAAAAGACGTAGTCGCTAACAGCAGAGGAAAAAAGTTTATTGAGCTGTGCTGTGATTATGGCCAAATAGTGCTTAATGGAAGAACGGCAGGAGACATTGAAGGCAACGTCACATATATAAGTAGTAATGGTTCTGCGGTAAATGACTTATGCACAGTTTCACAAGAAATGCTGACATATGTAGAAACCTTTACAGTAGAAGAAAGAGAATGGTCCGATCATATGCCTTTGGTGATAAGTTTAAAATTGCAATGTGAAATACAACAAAACACGGAACGAAAACTGCTTCCGACCCTCAAATGGAAAGATGCAAATAGGGTTCAATATAGCAAAAAACTTAAGGAAAATATAAGGACAAAGCTGCAAAATAAAACACATCTAGACTTATCAGATTTAACTGATGTTATACTAAAATCTACTCCCAAAATACGAAAATGTAAGGGATTCTATACCAAAAAATCAAAATGGTATAACTTCCGATGCTTTGTCGCGAAGAAAAAAGCTAAACACTTGTTGAGAAAATATAGAAGAACAGAGAGTAGCGCTACTAGAGCGAATTACTTAGAAGCAAATAAGAAATATAAAGATGTATGTCTGAAAAGTAAAGCTGAATATTATAGAAATCTAGAGACACGTATAAACACAATTAAAAATGGCAAAGAATGGTGGAAGCTAGTTAAAGAGCTAAGAAATAGGCCTTTAATAAATGAGGTACGAATTGCACCAAATGAGTTTAAGACACACTTTGAAAATCTTCTTAATCACACGCAAACGGCGAAAGATGTGCATTATGCTCCAAACTTTGTAGAAATAGACGAGCTCGACAAACCTATAATGGTGGGTGAGATATTGCAGGTCTTGAAAAAAGCGAAAGACGGAAAAGCACCAGGTTTAGATAGAATCCCTTACGAATTTTACAAAAATGCAAATACGGAATTTTTAGAGCAACTCGCGAAGGCATACAACCAGATGTACGACTCAGGAAGGGCAGATTCAAGTTCTGAACCGAGTATAATATTTCCAATACACAAGAAGGGAGATAGTTCGGTTGTAACCAATTATAGGGGTGTGGCATTTATGAACACAAAAGAAAAATATTGATGGGTGTGCTCAATGAAAGATTATCCAGTTGGGTTGAAAACAATGACATCATGTCTGAATACCAAGCAGGATTTCGTAAAAACTATTCCACGGTTGACAACCTATACAATCTAACATCCATCGTAAAGTTGAAATTTAATGAAAAAAAGAAAGTATACGCTGTGTTTATAGATCTAAAGGCGGCTTTTGATAAAATCGCTAGAAAATTACTTATGTACAAACTGAGGAGTATAGGCGTTTCAAGCAAATTTGTAGATTTTATTGAGTAGATTTACGAGACGACAAATTCGGTAGTTTGGAACGGAAGCGAAGTATCCGACAGTTTTAGCACAATTTCTGGTGTCAAACAAGGTTGTTTGCTTTCCCCCCTTCTGTTTGCGTTATATCTCAACGACTTACATGATTATTTGGACGGTGGTTTGCAGGTGGAAGAACTGAATATAAGGTTGTTGTTATATGCAGATGATATAGTCATCTTGTCCGATGATGCAGAAACGCTACAGAAAATGATATGGAATCTTGAAACATACTGCGACAGTTGGAATTTAGAGGTAAATTTAGCCAAATCGGCAGTCATGGTGTTTAGAAAAGGCGGTAGGCTGCCTAGTAGAGAAAGGTGGACATACAAAGGGGAAGTGCTTAAAATAGTCGCTGAATATACATATTTAGGGGTAACGCTCACGCCAAAAATGATATTTAAAAAACACCTGGAAAACAGGAATATATCTGCAAAATCAAGCATAAATGCCACTTGGAGTACGTATTTAAATAACGATAAAATTTCAATCAGGGCAAAGTGGCAAATGTTCAATGCAATTTGTAGAGCCATACAAGGCTATGCGGCGCAAATTTGGGGGAGTGACATGTTTAGCGAAATAGACAAATTACAATGCTACTTCTTCAAAAGAATTTACAGGCTTCCCAATTTCACTCCAACCTACGCCATAATGCTGGAATCAAATATGGAAAGCGGGCATTTGTACACAATGGACTTGCATTTAAGATACGTCTACAAGACTTTGTTTGAATATAATGAAAGGAGATTGCCAAGAATATTGTCACAAAAAGTTCTGCAAAAACATGTATTTTGGGCGGAGAGACTAAACGTTTTGGGAAATGAGGCAAGCCTAGTTTGGAATGATGAAACAACAAGCCAAGAATGGAAGAACAATAATTTCGTATTATTAAATCACTTAAAAGTGGAAAACAGAGTAAAAATGTGGCGAAAAGCATTGAGAAGTGAAAGCCGAATTTATAAGTACCTAGACCATAACTTAGGGGCTCAATATTTTACAGAAAGCTTCAGTCGTGCGCACATAATGTGGATTTTTAAGGCGAGATGCGACTTAATTCATTTAGATGGCAAATACAATAGAAACTGTACACTGTGCAATCTCAATGAAACGGAAAGCATACAGCACTTCTTAGGCCGCTGTCCTGTATTAAGGCCGTTTAGACGAATTTGTTTTGAGAGAGAAACGTTAGTGGAAGAGGAAGTAATCAATGTGCTTAATGGGGAAAATGATCCTAACTGGAAAAAATTGATTAACTATATTACTAGTGCTTTAAAATACAGAAAACTAATTATAAATGAATTTAATACCTTTTAATTAATATTTAAAAGCGTATACAATTAATTTAAATTCTGTATAATTCCTTTTTTGTATTGTAAATATAAATTAAGTTTGTAAATTTAAATTTTGTAAATTCTTAATTTTAATTTTGTAAATTTTAAATTTTAATTTTCTAAACGTTATGCAAGAAAGTAAATTTATTTTAAACCAACATCTCCGACAGACGACTATAAGTCATTGTCGTATTCTTTGTTTGTTCAATTCAATATTTTTAAGTAACTATAATGTTTTTAGACTTAAGGCTTATTACTTATTTATGTTAAAAAATTTGTTTTGAAATTGAATAATAAAGAATCTAATCTAATCTAATCTAAATCATCATAAGGAATAACTCAGATGAAGTAAAATTATATTTTTATTGAATCATTCAGCTGAAAGAGAGTTGAAAAGAAAGAACTTAAAGAAGTTGCAATATTATTTAAAATTTTTAATTGGGCTGCAGTAAGATATCAACAAAAAAAAAGATATCAACAAAGTTCTGTAGGTCAAAAAAATCAATTTTTAAGAAAGAATCGATGAGATGATTATCACTAAGGTTAATGTAGGTACAAATATCTACATTTAGGCCCATAACATTTATTTGGGCCTGTTTGGGTTATTTATTTGGGTTATTTGTATATGAGTATGAATTATTTGTTTGTGGAAAAGTAAGAGACACATAAAAATAATTATGTATGAAAGATATATTATAATAAATTATATAATATAAAACAAAATGCATTTAATTATTATATCTTGAAGCTTACTTTAAAAAGCGAAGGAGAAGAGTTATTAGTTGGTTATTTTTTTAATAATAACTGTTACGATCCCTAGTTTCAGGGCATTTGGAAACCAAAGAATTGTTAGTTGAATGAAAAAGTTATATGCGTTTTGAATTTTGGAAAACGTAGGTTATAATAAACTAGGCCACACTGGATGCTACTCTAATTATGAAAACAGCTTGAAGGTGTTTAAATTAGAGACTGCGACATATATATCTGCGGACTGATATAAAACTTAAATGTAATTATGGACGTAAAATCTTCCAGAAAAAGGGTTTATAGTGGCTTTTTGTGACTTGTATTTAACTTCTTACTAACACAAAATAAAACGATCAATGCTATATATATTATATAGGTATTTTGTTTGTTATGTTCCGAACAACTTATTAACCCGAGAACTAAAGACGTGTTTCTTACTAACTTTTTCAAAACTAAATTTTTTAATGTGAACACTTTAAAATTAAATTTGTGGTTGCTGCAATGTATGAATGTTGACGATACTACCCCTTTCGAAAGACGGAAAAGTATCTTGCGACCATATCCAGAACAGTTTGCGAAGGTAGTAACTCGTTCATAAACATTCGCAGTTTAGCAACAAATTTAGTCTGAGGGATTGTGACGTCACCATTTAGTTTCTGTGTAAACTCCCCAGATAAACGTGAACCAGTACCATAAACCAGTTGCGAAGTCCGAGAAAAATGAGAGGAAAGATTTCAACCCAGTTCTCATTTTAATAACACTTAATGGCTGCATTTAAAGACCTGTGTAACCTTTCAATAGTACCGTTAGAAGCGGGGTGATAAGTCGTGGTACGTAAGTGTTCAATTCCAAGGAGTTTAGACAGTTTCTTGAATAAATAGCACTCAAAATGGCGGCCCTGATCTGTGTTTACGAGTAACGACACGCTAAATCTTGTAGCTCAAGTGGAATAGAATGCGAAAGCTTCATTTTTGGCAGAAATACGCTGCAATGGGCAAATCTCAGACCAGCGTGAGAAACGATTGATCATTGCCAAATTGTCAAGCAATAACAAGTACCTCCAGAGCATGGCAGTATCCATATTGATGTGGTCAAAATGAGACGAAACAACTAGGTACTGATGAACAGCTGCCTTGTTGTGGCGGGACACTATGCTTGCAGTGCAGGATTGGGTCCAAATATAACAGTCCTTTATATTAGGCCAGATGCTAATAATTTGTGAGTTTTTTTACCGTTTGAGTAACAAAGGTTGTAAATTGAATCAAAAGTGATTTTGCGAAAATCCTTTCTCATAACCAGACGAACGTTCCCGGTAGAAATGTTGCAATTCACTGACACAGCAGAACTGAGCAAAGCGATGGGCTTGATTTACAAACTCGAATCTGCGTTGAAAAACATTTTTATTTCTTCATCAGTCTCTTGCTGGCGAGAAAGTTCTTTGTAAATAATTGTTTCGCTGGTAGAATAACTTCTATTGGACCGTCTGCAACAATGTTGTTGTATATTGGGTAAAGAAATCCAAATGCCAGATTTGCATCTGACTAGCATTGTCGACATTCTTAGTGGAATCAAACTGAAGTGATTTACGAAATGGAAAATTCTCTGCCTTCCAGTACATAGCGGAAGTGCTTCACGCTTTTGTTATTTATCCAAAAAAGGATAGGTTAAATTGCTGTATCCCCGAAACCAAAATAAAAATGCCAAGTACTTAGATTTCTTTTATTTTTTATTTATCATTATTGATTCAACATTTCTTCCTTGCTACTTGTCCATAGTCTTATCTTATTAAAATTTTATTATTCATTAATAGTCGTTCTGATGTACTTTGTGTAGCATATTCTTTTATTCAAATATGATAGTAATTAGTGTAATATTATAACCATTTTTATAATTGATAATTGTAAAATTTATTTAAATTTATTTAATTTTTTACAATTTTGTTGAGTTATTGTTTAATCACTTTTTGTGTGCATCCGTGTGCTGACACTTGCGCGTTCGATAAACAAGAGACAGAATCAAACCAACGGAGTTTACTTGCAGCCAAAAAAGATAACAT